GGAGAGGAGGAGGGGAGGGGGAGAGAATATGTAAAAATAACCAGGTTTTCACTCTGCGGCCCTTATTGAATGTCATTGTGGAGGGTTTTCAATGCGGGAGAAAGAGAGTCGAATTAAAGTGTGTGACAGCGGCGGATAGACGCAACAAAGGCGACTCTGTCATGAGGAGCCCCGCGAGCAGCGCGTCGAGCCCCCGCCTCCGCGCACTGATTGAATTAAGTAATAGGAAAACATTTTCTTTCACTTTAAGGCTTTTTTTTTTTTTTTTTTTTTTTTTAACGGGACCTTCAAAGCCGCGGCAGCCGCGGTGTGTGTGTGTGTGTGTGTGAGTGTGGATTTTGTCTTCGTGAATCGGTTAAACTCCACAGGAAAAAAAAAAAAAGTCCGTTTAGTCCACGGAACCACCGACGAATATGACTTATAAAAAAAAAATTAAAAAAAAATAGCCCCGGCCCTCGGCTCCACGGCCTTTGTCCGCGGCTGCCACGGCTCCTCCGACGCGCACACGCACACCTCGACGCCGTGCACTTTAAAGCTTTATTCCGTGTAAAAATGGCCATTCTGAGGAAATGACGAGCTCTTCACACACACACACACACACGTGATGCGTTCACGTCCCCGCTCAGAGAGGAGTCTGTGATGATGCCGTGGAAACTGCACCGATTATTACGTCTAATTATTACATCACAATATTTCAATAATTACTGGGATATTTTAATCAGGATATTTATTTATACTTACTTTATTTATTTATTTATTAGTATAACCAGAATGACTCCAACTTCTTAAATTCCTTCATCAGAATATCTTTTACAAAATGAATTAAATATTAAAAAATTAAATTCATTTCTTATTTATAAATTTATAAATTCCGTCACATTCTCAAACATTTTTCTTCATCAGAATCTTGTTTCCTTACAGATTAAGAATTATTCATAAAATCAAAATTGTTTTTTTTTTCAACAAATGATGAACCTGTTTATTTATTTATCAAAATATAATTTCCAAATTTTTGGGTAAAAATCACTCAAACGTATTTATTTTCTTTACCAGATTTTAAAAAAAAAACAGTTCCAGTTTTGCTCTGATTATTCATTTTTTCTTCTTCATCATTTTTTTTCTGGAGAACAGAATAAATCAGTCATATATATATGTAGTAATTTTTTTTTTTTTTTTTGACTTCCAGAGCCGCCGGTCCTGACTCTCTCTCTCTCTGCTCCCTCTGCTCTCTCTCCCTCCTGGCCGCCTGTTCTCCAGCCTGATGTATCGCTCGACATAAAGATGTTATCAAAGACCCTAATTTTCAAATTATGTACAGCAGTCACCCCGTGGATAGGAATAGAGGTTTCATGGGTCGTCACGCAGGGGAGGCTCATCCCTAATTTGCCATCCCGACTGGAGACTGACAAATAGTTTTGACCTCCCTCTGGAGGCGGGGGCCAGAAGTGCAAAGAATCTCATTCTCCATAATCACTTGTTACTGAGAT